GAGAAGACTCACTTTTGGGACCACTCGAGGTTCATGCCCGACTGCATGGAGAAAGCGGCCAACATCTCCTGCTGCTCGGCCGAGAGGGTGGGGACGGGGCTGGAGGAGGGGGTGGGGGCCGGCATGAGGAAGGCCTTGCGGATCTCCTCGGTGGTGGCGTTCCTAACGAAGAGCTCGTCGTTAACGATGCAGAGCCTGGAGGGAGACAAATTAAGAGGTGGTGTGGTGGTTGGTTGACATCCTCTCCCACCACATCAAAGACACCCAGGACTTTTCCTTCTCCCTCCCCGCAGCGGGGGACGTGGTTGGGTGAGCGTTGGCCATGGTCTACCCAACTGGAGGACGTAGGCCTCACCATGGTCTACCCAACTGGAGGACATGGTTGGGTGAGTGTTGGCCATGGTCTACCCAAGTGGAGGATGTAGGCCTCGCCATGGTCTACCCAACTGGAGGATGTGGTTGGGTGAGTGTTGGCCATGGTCTACCCAAGTGGTGGATGTAGGCCTCACCACGCTCTACCCAACTGGAGGACGTAGGCCTTGCCGTGGTCTACCCAACTGGAAGACGTAGGCCTCACCACGCTCTACCCAACTGGAGGACGTAGGCCTCACCACGGTCTACCCAAGTGGAGGACATAGGCCTTGCCGTGGTCTACCCAACTGGAGGACGTGGTTGGGTGAGCGTTGGCCACGGTCTACCCAACTGGAGGACGTAGACCTCACCATGGTCTACCCAAGTGGAGGATGTGGTTGGGTGACTGTTGGCCAACTGGAGGATGTAGGCCTCACCATAGTCTACCCAACTGGAGGACGTAGGCCTCGCCATGGTCTACCCAACTGGAGGATGTGGTTGGGTGAGTGTTGGCCATGGTCTACCCAACTGGAGGACGTAGGCCTTGCCACGCTCTACCCAACTGGAGGACGTAGGCCTCGCCAAAGGCCACCGGAGGCCGGAGAAGCTCCGTGGTGGGAATGGAAGGGCCTTTAAAAGGTCCCTTCAACCCAAAGCAACCCCGGGATTGGATGGAAAAGCGCGTGACAAGGGCCAGGAGGAGGAGGAGGGCTGGCGACGAAGGCCTGGTGGCCATCACTCACCCGGTGTTGCCGGCCGGGACGGCGATGAACATGCGGGTGAAGGCGCGCACCGAGTCCCGGGATTTGCCGTCCACTGTGGGAGAGAGGGAGAGGAGGTGGGGGGAGGAAGGCTTGGGAGGAGGAAGAGGAGGGAGGGAGGAAGGAGAAAGGAGGAGAAGGAAGGAGGAAGGTGATGAGGAAGAGAGAAGGGAGGAAGAGGAAGGAGACAAGGAAGGACGATGAAGAAGGAAGGAAAGAGGAGGAGGAAGGAAGAGGGAGGAGATGGTGGAGGAGGATGAGGAAGGAGGAAAGAAAGGAGGAGATGGTAGAGGAGGATGAGGAAGGAAGGAAAGAGGAAGATGAAGGAAGAGAAGGAGGGAAGGAGGAAGGAGGAGATGGAGGAGAAAGAGGGAAAGAAGGAGGAGGAAGGAAGGAGGAGATGGTGGAGGAGGATGAGGAAGGAAGGAGAAGGAGAAAGAGGGAAGGAAGGAGGAGGAAGAGAAGGAGGAAGAGAAGGAGGAAGAGAAGGAGGAAGAGAAGGAGGAAGGAGCAGATGGAGGAGGAGGATGAGGAAGGAAGGAAAGAGGAGGAGGAAGTAAGAGAAGGAGGATGAAGGAAGAGAAGGAGGAAGGAAGGGAGGAGGGAGGAGAGGAGGAGGAGGAAGGAAGGGAGGAGGGAGGAGAGGAGGAGGAGGAAGGAAGGGAGGAGGGAGGAGAGGAGGAGGAGGAAGGAAGGGAGGAGGGAGGAGAGGAGGAGGAGGAAGGAAGGGAGGAGGGAGGAGAGGAGGAGGAGGAAGAGGAAGGAGGAAGAAGAGGAAAGAAGGACACAGGGACACACTCACCCTCCTTGAAGATACCGTGGACGGCGAAGCAGAGCAGTGTGTTCTGCAAGAGAGGGGCCGGGTGAGTGTCCTCCCCTGTCCCCCCCCTCCCCG